AGAGAGAGAGAGAGATCTTAGGCAATAAAATAATCAATTTATTAACATTGTATACTAGTACGTTTTTAATGGAAAAATGTACCTAAGAGGACTTGAAAATACATCGGTTTACAAATATAATTTTGTCATTGTGTATATGTGATATAATTAAACGTGTATTCTTTTCAGCAAGTTCAAAAGGACACGATAACCATAGAAATAGTAAGCATGCAATTTTTGGAGGAAAGTTTTGTTATGCAAGATGACGAGATACATTTGCTTTACATGGAATATTGCTTTCTCGGGCATTTCGGCGAAAATATGGAGACTATTTCTATAGAAAAACCAAAAACCGCTAATCAAGAGATGGTCTACAATTTTAGAAGAAGTAAATTCATTATATTTATGTATAAAAGTACATGTTTTTAATTAATGAAGGAAATGCGTATTTCAATTATTCTCGCGTACCATTATTGTCGAGATTAATTGTGAATAAGAGAATTATCGCATTTTAAAACATCGCAATCCAAACACTACCAATTTTAGAATTTTGGATCGACGAAGAGACGCATCCCTTAGAAAGAAACAATTTACGTGCCATGTTGAGCGAATCTATAAGTCCAAACATTCAGTTTGTTGTAATTAGCGAACCGCTACCCGAGGAAACCGAAGTTAAAGAGTGCGATGAGATCGGGTGAGTGTGCGGTGATTTTATTTAAAATTTACATTATTGGAAATGTATACATATGTTGTAAGAGCAATAGAAATGGTCGTACATTCATTTTTTTTTAATGCAACAAGTATCTTTAATTTTATTGTGTACAATCTGTAATATTTAACGTTTAACTGATTTCTTCTAGTTATGCGATTTTAAATATAAAAAAATATGCAGTCCACGATGACCGCAGAAATATATCATTGCCGATTACGGATAATCGAAATAAACAAATTGGTGTGCTGAAGGTAACATGTACAAATAAATAATTTTGTTGCGAACTATAATTTAATACTTTGAATTATTTAATCTAAATATATTGCAGATTATTGTGTCGGGTTTTGGTGCCATTCGCCAATGTTTATCGGAAGTTAAGGAAAATCGCTTGTGATAGACAATAGTGATGTGGCAAACGGTTGTTATGTGAGTAACTCGTGTTGAATTAACGTCGAGAGATCAATGTTTTGAATAAGAAAAATGTTTCAATGTCAAATAAGTAGTGAAGATATGTAAAAATTTATTTAAAGTCATCTTATACATAATATATTTTCTAATGCAACAGATTATGTGGATACAAAATGATTAATTTTCAAAAAAAAATTTTCAAAGAAGTTTGTGTTTCAGAAACTTACACAAATTATCGCTAGTACAATATGAAAGACTACTTTTAGCAATGTGTGTGAATTTTTTGGTTTATCCACATCTCATTCTATTATTATTCTATTCATTTTACAAGCTTGGTTTATTTATATCCTTTTTTCTATATTTTATTGCAATGTGCTATTTTGCTGTACCGTACTGTTCGTCGAAGGCTTCATCATTGTCATTGCGTTATCCGTATGAGTCTTTTTAAGCAGTCGCATGATCTTTCGATGTTTCCTTTTCATCTTTGACGACAGTTTAGTCCGGTGAAATATGTCGTTGTAAATATTTGTAGCTATCTGAAAATCTTGGCAATTTTGCGGGCTGTGAGCGATTGACCAAACACCCGCTATCGTATCGATACCTTGACATATCCTGCACGTACCTGCATGTATCGTCGCATATATTTTTTAAAATTTTTTACTAGTTTTTCGTGTACAATATTTGTTTAAAAAATTTCTTCATTTGACCATAAATAGTACCTATAAACACTGCTAGAGATTTCGTGCGATTGTTAACGGCACGCAAGGAAAACGGTTCATTCGAAGCAAACGGTATGCATCCGGTCAGATTCCAGGTGAGATCCAGAAAACCCTGATAAGTGAGCGAAGGCGACAATCTCGCGAGTGTCACGTTTATTGTGTGATTCGTAACTTTCATATCGATTTGCACTCCGCCCTGCGTAGTCACCCACGATCCCGATATCTTGCAAGGTAAGCCTGTTTCAAATAAAGTTCACCTATTAATCAAATACCCCACCGCTACGATGATCCCGAAGTCTGTTTTACCGATTTCTTTTAAATAGATTATACTTTTTTTTTGGCTGTGTAAAAGATCAGTGCCTGTTTTACCTTCTATTTTTCATAAAATTCTTTTTTTTTGGCTGCGTGGAATGAAAAATCCTTTAAAATCGATCATCTATTCTGTATTAGCATATGTACTTTAATTACAGAAAAAGATTTTTTATTCTACATAGCCAAAAAAAAGTAAAGTTTATTTTTAAAAAATCGGTAAAACAGAGATCCGGGATCACCTTAATTTAAACCATTTTTTAAGCAATAAATTTTCTAAATTACTTTGCTAGATAAAACTTAAAATCAGAACGCAAGTTTTTTAAAATTTAGTTATAATTTTAATGGAATGTGATTTGCAAATTTTAAAGCTGATTATTTCTTGAAAAAAGTTTCGCATAAAGCTATCACTTGCTAATAATTATTAAAAAATATCTCTAGTTCAAATGGAAATTAAAATTCTAGAAGAAAGCAATTTATTAATGTTTAGTATTAGATTGAATAGTTTGTTAGTGAAACATTAAACTTAAGTTTTATATGTTCAAGTCAATTTTAATTATATAATAACCTTCTATTTGCTCATTTTCAGTTGCTCGATCTGATTTAATTTCCTCCAATTCGTCGATAATCTTCTCTAGTATCTGATTAGCGACTTCTTCGGTCTCATTTAACGTCGCAGGCATATTCGCGTGTCGAATTCCTTCCATCGTTTTCGCCGCAACTGCAGATGCATGATTATCGTGCATCTTGGTATTTGCAGATTTTTCATTATCATTATTCTTGTATCGAAAACTTTGAGCCGCTTCTTGTTTCGCTTTACGATCTTCTTTAATCATTAATTGTCTTTGACTATCCTTGTGTCCACTTTGTTCGCCATTTTTTTCTCGATCGGAAATCAAAATATGTTCAACCGGTTGATTAGCCATTGATTGAGAAAGAATTAAAGTGTTATCGTTAATTTTATGCAGAGGCTTATGTTTTGTGGGAACAACAGAGTAAATATGCTCATTAAATACAGACGCTATCGCTGGTCTAGCATCTTTTTCAGCGACATATATGTTTGAAGTGTTAGGAACTTTACGAAGGATATGCGGTGCATTTATCCAAGATTCTATCGCATTGGGATAAAGCAGTTGAACTTCATCAGGCCGAATCGTTTCTGATCTACTTAAATTTGAATACAGACGGGAGACACCCAATTTCTTCTGATACTGTAGTCTTTTGCGAGGAATTTCTTCGGCTTTAATTTGCGGATCAAGCATAATATTCGCACTGGTAGTAAGTCCCAGCTCTAGGTCAAGATTGGAATTGGTAAAATTCTCGGTGGGAGATTCTACTCTGCTGACATATACGTTTTTTTTATTATGATCGATATTTGATACTTGAAGCAGATTAAACGTCAAATCTTTTTGAGTTACTCTAGGAATATAGTACAGTTTTTCCGGGTTAATTTCCTCGTCGGTTAATATTGGCAAATACGTAGGGGTGTCGATAGCGTTATCCTTTTCAGATTGAGCAGCCATAGAACGACTGCTCTCCCAAGGTTTTAATTCATCGTCGTAAATGAAATTCTTGTCATAAGGTTTATCGAATGGATTGTTGTTGAAGGCAGAACTGTTTGAGATTTGTCTTAGAATTCTGTCACTTTCAATTTTTGCTTTGTCCTGTTTTAATTGCATCTCAATTGTCTCAGCATTATCATCGTTATAATATTTGGAATATTTGATTTCACCAGAATCCCTTTTTTTAGGATCCTTCGTGATTCTTTGTGTTAAACGGTTAATCATGTTTTCGTTCGATAACTCGCCGATTTTCCGATATGGCCGCTTTGAAATTAAACAATTTGCAATGTTGTTTTTTTAAAAGATAATGGAAATAATTTTTGTTATAAAATTTAGTTTTAATATGTATATATATATATATATATATATAACAAGAATGAATTTATCTACCTTTGTATGATTCCGCCTGTATAACGGAGGATGCTTTTTATGTCGGCTTACTTTATGTCTGTCTTTATTTCTCTCTTTCTTACTTTTTGCTTCATGACTTAACAATTTGTTTAATTTTTTAGAACTTACTGTTGATTTGGATACACTAGTCATCTTTTTCTGATTTAGCAATGAATCTTTCATCGCGTTAGAATAATTATATTGAGGATTGCTTAAATTTATTAATTTCTTTATACTGCGTTGTAATTGCGGCGATTTGAGAACCTCGTCCGTTAGCTTTTGTACTAAAGACTTGTGGCTTTTTTGTTCAGGATCATTGAACATAGCTTGCAAATTCACATCCTTGTCATATTTCTCATTAGAAGTGTCATCCGAATATCTCTTTACCGTCGCTTCCCTTTTGCATATATCATCGTCCTGTGTGTCGAAAGAGTCCTTTGCAGGTGGGATAATCGATTGCTCGGCACTCGCGTCATTGCAGATTATCTTGACTAACAATGATATAATTATAACGAACCTGTTGTCGAAAAAGGGTTTCCGTGTATGCGTGCATTTATTGCTATGTGTATACACACACATATATATGCGATGAAATATATATATATATATATATATATATATATATACGGCAAATATTTGCCAAAGATACGATGCCAAGAGTACCTGTAGCCTTTGACTGCGTTCCTCGGTATCATTTACAGCATTTGCCACTTTAACGAGAAAATTCCTTTTCTTCCCTTCCGCTTGATTCGCAGTTTATATCTTAATTGTAACTCGAACTTTACGTTTTTGCGCTTCATCGATTAAAGAAGGAAATTGCACACCTTTTTCGCTCTTTTTAATCGCATCGGTGATAAATCTGAAGATAGATATTTAAGACCGATAATCGAGACAGAATGCTCTCTTCTCGCCGATCTCGTTTTATCGCAAACCTCTTCATTAGATTAAAGGTGTTCTTACACCAAAAAAAAATTTGTTTTTTTTTTATAAATTTTTAAAAATTGTAACTGATAAAATTTCAGATACCAAATTTATCGGATATAATGGCAATATTAACATAATGATTAACCCTTCACATCGCATTAACCGAATTGCAGCACTGCTACATTATAACAGACTTGATACGCAAATAGACCTCATCGTCGTCGTTCCCAATCTAGAAGGCGCGTGTAACGGGACGTCATGGCTGATAAGTAGCGGAGGGATTGTAGTCGGTACAACACGGCTGTGCGGTCGTCATGGTATCGATTTGGATCCGTAGAGAAATCCCTGGAGCGGCGTAGACATCGATTATTATTAGAAGCGGCTGTGAAACGCGGCTCGATCGACTGCGCTACGAAGCAGCACATACAAATCCCATAACAATGATTCTGCAGCAGTCGCGTTTCCATTTTTGCAATTGTGAGATGAAAGAGAAGAGATTTATTTTCTATCGAAAATTAACGTATTGCATTCTGTATTATCTGAATGGAAAAAAAGAAATGGAATTATTATTGTCCTTTTGAAATTATCTCACAATAAAAAGCCGAATTAATACGAGTTGAAAGAAATGCAACATAGCGAGAGCAAATTCAAAAATTCAGAAAACAAAATTAATTATTAATCTATGGTTTTCATTTTCTTCTTTCATATTATATACATATTCTGATATACATTGTTCGAGTAGCGGATGCTAATGACTTTAATCCAAATACGTAGAGATAAATAAACTTTATTCCTCATAAGACGCCAATACAGTGTGTGAAAAAAAAGTGATGGGAGAAAGAAGATTAGGGAAACGATTTGAAGCATCACGTTGATGCACGACGTGGAGGTAGAGAAGAGAATAAAAAGTAGCGCTCGGGCATCGGGACGCGTTGCCGCTGGCATTGGTAGCAGTCTCGAGATAGCCGTCGACTGGTTTCCTCACCGGCTCGAGCAATTTATTCGGGGATTCCTAGGTGGCCAAAGTGTGGCGAGCGAGCGGCTCGACGTCCGGAGACCGGCGAGGAAGATCGTCTCGGGAAACGGATCACTTTGCGCACCCGGATCGTTCCCGTTTATGTGCTAGAGCTAACAATCGGAGAATAGTGAAAGAAAGAAAGAAAGAGAGAGAGAGAGAGAGAAAAAGGGAGAGAGAGAGAGAGAGAGAGAAAG